ACCCAAAAAAACATACATAGATCATCAAACGGAAGAGGTAAAGTGAGGGTGGTTGTTTGAGGGATGACTATTTGACTGTCTGCAAGGAAGAACTAAAAAAACAAAACAAACAAAACCAGTTTTCCTCCCAGGAAATCTTTTGTATATAATGCCCGTCTATCCACTATCAGCTTCTCAGGGAGATTTGACCCACCCCCTGCCCCAGTGTGACCTTTGCCATTTGTGTGGAAATTCAGGAATAAGAAGGAAACAAGCAGTCATATTGTTTTTCTCAATGCCGTTCAAACAGTCGAGTATTCTATTGAAAAATACATTTTAATACTGCCTGTTTAAAATGAGCACTTCACTTGCTTCTGTGACTGGTCAGGAGATAATCAGTTAATTGTGCTTTCTGGGTGGTCCAGTTTGTTTTCCAGGCTTTGCAGGACACTGGTCATTATATGTGATTACATTGTAATGTCACTAAGAATGTAAAGGAAGGCATGCATAGGACACACATGACAGCAAAGTGGGACTGAAATGAACAAACCCAGAGAAAATATGACATCCCAGATATCACTGAATCACCCGTGCTATGCCACTGGCCTTGGGGTACTCACACGGGTGACATGTTCCTTTTGGGTGGATACATGAATGGTACTGATGGGCATCCCAGTCTCATTATCTTTGGGCGTAGGTGTTCGTTCACTTCTTTGGTTTTTTTTGTATTGAATGGAGGCTAATTTCATCCAAATACACGGGCCTGGGCATGGGATGCCTCTTCCCCTAACAGAGGGGGCCCAAAGGAGGGGCTTATGTTCTCAGAAGTGACCGATACCCACACCGGCATGACACTGTGAGGTGCGGCCTGAATTCACAAGCCCGGCGGTCATAAGCAGAGACACCCCCACTATGTTTGTTCGAGCTATAGAAGGGGGACACTGAAAATGTGAATTTTCCGTGGACGCCAGCGTCCACCTGAGACCAATCTGTCACCCAGGGGATTAAGGGCTTCAGTGCTACAGGCAGGAGACAAGGAGCAAACTGGTAATCTGGTAGCCAGTGTCCTGCTGGGAAACTCACCAATTCCCAGGTTCTTTAAAAAAAAAAAAAGAAAAAAAAAGAAACAAAAATGATGCAGAAATCAGTGTAATGATAAGCTGTCTCCATTTGCACCACATCACTGTAAACAGAATGTCTGGAGCCACCTAGGGTAATGGTAGGGTACAGGATCAGATTGCCCCCACTAAACAGCAAAAGGGTCTGTGTAAATGCTCACTTTTTTCACCAGTCATTAGAAGCTGGTTTTGCAGACGTCTCTGACTCAGGTTCTCTCCCTGGGGTTCAGTGTTTATCTCTGTGTAACCTCTCTGCGTCTTCCCGGAGCCTCCAGGCCCAGACTGGGGACCTTCTGCAGTGGGTCAGGTCACCGTATCATAGTAACTATGTCAGGACGATTTCCACTGCGGAGCACAGGGCCCGCGGCAGTGCCGTCACTGCTGGAGCCAAGTCTGATAACACAGAGGTGCGTCCGGACACGAGTCAAGGACCCTCATTACTGTAACTATTCTGTGATAGTCAACCTCGCAAAGTGTTCTCCGACTGTGGCTTGTGTCCAAAACATAAACACACAGGGTTCTGTTTTAGCGGGTCCCCATGACCCCAAATGAACAGCTGGCTGATGCAGGGATGTGGAGCAGGTATTAGTCATCCGAGTGTTTTAGTGTGAATGTGGTATTATGTAGTAAGATCACTGCAAACAGAATCAGGACACATGCACACACACACACACACACACACACACACACACACTAACTACAGGCAAATTAGAGACACCTATTTGCTTAACAGTGTGTTTTTGTACTGCTGGAAGAAACTGACACACACCCAGAAAAACACCGAACAGGGCAATGATTTAACCTCCCCCCCCAGCCCCAAACTCCAGAGGTGTGGGGCCACAATGCCACACCAGCTACACAACACCCAGCTATCCATTTTCTGGTCAAGGGTGCAGGGTGACCTGGAGCCTATCTCAAGCAGTATGAAGCTGGGGTACACCCTGGATGGGATGCCAGTGCATTGCCAAGCAAACACACACACACATGTTTGTATTTATATCTTTATGGGGATTCTCCCTCTATTTCTACAGTATGTGCAAAACCATAATCCCAACAATAACAACATTAACCCCAAGACTTTTGGTATTTGTAGTTTTTTGATTGCAGACACAGATTTTTATAAAATTGAGTCCCTTTTGTGGGGACCAAAATGTCCCCACACAATTTAAAACGAACTAAACATAAACGTTTAACCATTAGCTTATGAGAGAAGTTCACTAATAAATGAGTATTCAACTTATAAACGTGAAAATGATGTCTTTAGGGCCAAATGTGTAGTAGCTGTGGTATAAGCAGGTTACAGCACTCTGTACATTTCAAAATGCATAATGCACGTTTTATCGTATATTAACACTTATCTATGTATTTTGACTATTAAAGTAACTTCCTTCACTTACAATCCTTTGACAGTATATATATCACTTAATTCACATGAAGTGAATGGATGTTAATATAAAATATATTTTTTATCTGTTCTCTTTTTACCTGCTCCCTACTTGAAGATCACATCATATTCTGCATTAAAATGACATGGAATTGCAATTCAGATGTTATCTGAACCTGATGGTCCCAGGAAAGGCTGCACCAGACCTGAAGCCAGAAGCCCCTGTATGAATGTCCTGCTCCACACAGCTGGAAATTATAACAACTAAAAATAAACGGTAGCGGAGAATCTACTCGACAGCTGAAGGTTGGCAAACGCCTGAAGGACCTGCTTGTGCTTCTCAGGACACCTGAGATCCAAGGCCCAGCCTTCAGAGAGCTTATACGCTGGAATCCACATCGCTTCAAGAAAGGCAGACTGAGAGGGCTAGTGGGTGCCCATCACATCTATATATGATGTGGCTCCGAAGGGCAACCCAAGGCGCATGCAGCTGGCAAGGCGCGTCAGCATGCCATCACTCGCATGACACTGCAGGGGGCGCTGCTGAGCCATCACCCGCATCCCCAGCATTGCCGGCTCTCTGGGGTGCTAACCACAGCCACATTGGCTCCCTTTAAACAGACACAAATAGAGGCTGAGCGGTCAGGTCGCCACTTTGGGGGAAGAGCAAGACTCCACCTACAGGCCGAAGGCTGTCATTACAGCTCAGTGAGCACCGCTCGCTAGTCGTGTAATGTTTCACAATGCCAAAAGTGATTGCTGACACTGTGCGTGATTATCATGGGGCAAGTGTGTGTTTAAAGCAATTTCAGACATCTCTGTATCAAAACAACTTGGGATAGAATTGTCGGTCACTGACTGACACTATCAGGTAAGGGCTTGTTCCATAAACAGCAAACTTTTTGTCTAAAATACAACATACCTAGGCCGGTGAACTTACGTGGTATGTAATGACATAATGAGTGCTGGAATATAGACGCTGAAACGGACTGTGTGCCTTAGCAGGGAGTGGAACAATTAGCTTCTGCTAGTTAGCTGGTCAGCTAGGTCTGCAGAAGCAGTTGCAGGGAAGGACCAGTATTTTCTTGGTGCCGTATGCCGATGCCTCATTATTACTCTGTTAGTCATCAGGGAATTCCCACCCAGGGCCCACTGCAGAAATATTATTAAGCAAAACACGAAAGTGCAGCGCAGGAGGAGCATGAGGGCCAGCTGCAGCTTATCTGCAGCCCTGTTCAGTTCACTGGCAGTGGGCCATGCTATGACGGTTATTTGATTATTATTTATTTATTAATCTGGCTGATCCATACCCAGACACACACACACACACAAACACAGACACACACACACGCTATGGACATTCAGAGCCGCCAATCAGCCTAAATGTGTTTCTGAGGCCTGTGGGAGACAACTAGAGTGTTTTCAATTAAATCTACATATGTGAATTCTACACACACAGCATCAAAGCTGGGCATCGATCACATGACTCCAGAAGCGTGAGGTCACTGTTCCACTCCACGCCATGTCCACCAGGTGCTCTTCACAGAGGGCCTTTGGAGGAGCCCATCACAGAACCTCCACCAAATTTTACAGTTGGGATGAGGCTCTTTTCATTATATCCATCCTTCTTTCTACACCAAACCCACCTTGTATGTTTATTGCCAAAAACTACATTGTTTTATCAGACCATAGTACATGGTTCCAGTCAAAGATGTAGCGTTTCGCAAACTCCAGGCACTTACGTCTGTGTTAGCTGACAGACGAGGCTTATTGTGGGACGTGTGTTTTTGTCAAAAAATAATTATTTCATTTTCTTTGATTAAATTTATTTCAGTGAAAGGTTGGATTTTTCTCATTTTTTTTCAGCATGACATGAAGTTACTTCACACACAGAATTATTTCTAACCCTTTCTAATCTTTTTTTACAAGGGATGCCAATAATTGTCGAGGGCACTGTATGTGGCCCTCGATGGACTGACAGGTCAATTCTGTGTGGGGGGGGGGAGAAGAATGACCTGACAGACATGTCTTATATCCAGCTCTGGGGGGGGGAGGCTCAAAAAAAAAAAAAAAAAAACACTGAAAAAATCTTAAAGTTTTAATATTTGAGAACAGCTCTTCTTTGGTTTGATTAAATTGCCCTCCCCCAGCTGAATATGAATATTGTGAATATTTAATCACGCACACCATCCTCGCACCGACAGACACTGCGCGCCACACCACACAATAGCTCGTTTCCTTCATCTTTCTGTAAACAAGCCAGGCGTCTGATCTCCTTTATTTGGTACAGAAATGGCCTGTAGCCTTCATCCCGAATCACTGCTCCTCACAAATACATTCAAGCTTCACTGTATGCCTCAGATTCTTTTTTTTTAATTAATGATTTCCATTATGCTAAGGTAAGACAACACAGGAGTGTACTCAAATATTCATATATATGTAAGGGGGGGGGGATACTTACCTCGCTATTTTCAAACCTTTTGGTCCATCTTGAGCTGTGAGTCAATGTCTGCCCATAATCTGTAACTATGTTTTTTTATTGTTTAATTTCAGTTTTACCATCATGCAGATCAGGATACTAAAGTAAGGCAGAGAATGTCACGAAGAGACCAGCAAGCACTTGTTGACATAACAGTGAAATACAGACTGAGAATTTACACAGCTTTCACCCATGAAACTCTGCCTCTCTTTCCTTTAGGGATTGTGAAACTGAAGAAAAAAAAAAAAAGAAAACAGCGCACAGAGATACTGCCACAGTATGTACAGCGGCTTGATTTGGGAGTCATTTCACATTCTATACATGCTGCACACAATCAGCTTACAATCAAGTTTTCCGGATAACAGAAAGACTGTAAGTGTACAGAGGGCATTGCAATGATACTATCGATTAGACCAATTACAAAGATGACAAAAAACAGCACAAAACATTAAAAACAGCTAAAAGAACAAGAACAGTAATAATATTAGGCGTATACAGCCAGCACTGAATACAGTAAGAGGTCCATGTTACGTCAATAGCAAATTTTATTGATATTTATCAGCATGGCCAGAATATACTTGGTGTCCCGGTCCAAAAAAAGAGTCACTCACACACAGACATAACAAGGCGACAAGGCATGACCAACAGATGCAGCCCTGGCACTGGAGAGGTGGGGGTCTTTAACCGGCCGTGACAAAAGCCCCCCGCTGTCAGAGTTAATCGGATCAGCGGCCCCTCGTGGGCGGCACGGCCCTCCGCTGTGGACAGTCCAGCATCGTTGGCTGAATGCCTGTTGGGCATTTCATTAAGGCATTCACTTCTGACATTTCAATCCAACCAACCAACCAGGACCCCCCCCCCAAAAAAAAAAAAAAGACATTCCATGGGAATGCACATCTCCTATGCATCTGCATCAAATAGCTGTACACCCACACTCACACAAAAGGTCCAAGGGCTTCCCCCACCCATCGCACAGTGAGGGAACCCTCGCCAGCAAACTCACGGATGGATGCCTTTGCTTGGCATCAGATCCTGCCGTCACTCTGAGGCACACAGAGGTAGGAAAGCTAGCAAACATTCATGCTGCACACACAAGGTCAGAACCCGTGTGACAAAGCAACATAACAGGACACTGTAGATGTAAGGGCCAGTGTCAAAAACATACAAGAGCAGATGGGCAGAGACCTGCTTGCTCTAAAAACAGGCACAGTGTCAGTCCGTTACAATTTAATTCAGCTTTATAGGAGAAACAGGAGACCAGCAGCGATGCAAAAGCATTTAAATAGCATACATATTTACAAAGGAACTATCAGCTCTCACCTGCCTCTCTCCTGTCTCCCGAATGTCTGCCTGTGAGGCATGAATGTTGGTGTGTGTCAGTATCTGTCTGTGGACGTGTGGTGACCGTCTTTGGGTTCAGACTGCCAGTCTGCAGCGAACATAAAACTGCTCAATGAGGAGGTTCTGAGAATTACCGTAACTGGTTCCCCAAGAACACGTAACTGTACAAGCACTCCCTGCTTTGGAGGAATCTGAACAAGAATAATGTGGAAATGAATCTAAGAAAAACACCAAATAATTCTGTTTCAGTAGAAAATCATGATCATACAATTTTGCCCGGGGATCTAAGTTAAAATCACTAAATCAATGCATTAGTGCCACCCGATGAGCAGGAACTGGCATGTAAAGCAGAATCGTGTCACTGCTTATAGACAGATGAGGGTATATAATCAGCCGGGCACTGCACTGGCAGGCGGGCACACAATACCCTTCCTTTCCTTCGCAGTGGCGCCACCTGTCTTGCAGAGACGTAATGAAAAGACCAATGTGCTAGTCAGACTATTCATAAAAACCCGCTCAAGTATAAAACTCAAGAGTGTGACTCAAGGTATGTGACTTCACACACGCTACATAAACAATTATGTACTAAGCTTGGGATCCACCAGCCACCCACACAAAACTACAAAACACAGCTGTTCAGGCCAGCAGCTACACATGACTATTACAGACAGTGTGCATGGGGGAGGGGGGGGATTGGGCCTCATTTCTGCCTCTCTTAACTATCCATCCCTACGCACCGTTCTAAGGGAGATGTCACACTTCCTACAAGCGAAGTAGGACAGATAGAGTCATTGCATCACCTTACACAGCACTGTGGGCACACTGCAGCGAACAACTCTGAGGTAAACAATATAGAATGAAGATGAATAATAATAATAATAATAATAATTATTATTATTATTATTATTATTATTATTATAAGCCTTTGTGTGAGGATACTTATGTGGATCACAGAGGTAGTTTGTCTTAGTCACAGCTCCCCTAACACTCTTGTTAAAAAAAAATAATAATAATAAAAAAAGTTTTCAACTTGTGTCGCGTATCACAGGAAATCATGTGAGATCGCCAAAATGGAACAGGACACAGAAGGTCCAGCTAAAAGGGCAGGGAAGGACGTCACTTTGTGAGAGGGCAGCCTGGAAATGTGTTACAAATCAGACCTTTTGAATGCACTTCCTGGTACAAGTAGGACTTCTACACAGGAAGCCAGTCTTAGTGTCACAGTCTGCCTTACTGTGATTGGCTATTTACTCTGACTCCTTCCTGTCAGGAAATGGCCACAAGCAAGCAGCTTCTGTGGGGGTGACGATGCAGCCGAAAAGGCCAGCTGATTTAGAGCCGGGGACCCCTAGGGGGAGTCACCCAGCCTGAGGCGCTACGGTCAAAGTTTCCAGCTTAATTATAAAAATATTGAAAAAAAGCAGAGTTGTGGAGAGCTTTGGATTGAAGTATCTGCAGCTGTGGATAATGCACGAGGCCCTTCCTTCGGCATCTCTGTGCTGGAAAAAGCAGGGAAGCTGATGACCAAACAGCCAATAGGAGGAGGAGGAGAGCCTGGCCCCGCCCCAGCTGACTTCAGCTCCACCCACTGAGCCGCCGGAGCCTGCCCAGTGCCCAGACAGGGGTAGTCATGGCAAAACGATGCATGTCCGTGCAGCTGTAGGAAAAACACTTAAAATGGCCCCCGGACAGCATTTTAAGCAGACTGATGTGAGACTATTCAGCCAATGACGCTACTATACGTTGGGCACCGGAGCTGGCCATTCCTGGGATAGGACCGGCAGAGGCCACCAAAGCCCACCCACAAAGGTCACATTCCTCAGTCTGGGGCCCCCAGGGGTGAGTGAGTGAATGCCAGAATGCTCATTCTCTTGATGGAGCCCAGCATTGCAGCTTGTCTGTATGCCTTGCAGGGGGCACCCAAGTGTCAGGCTGCACGCTCCTCTAACACGCGACATCCAGCATGACACCAGGTACGCCTTTATGTGGCGCTGCTGGACAGCTGCACGAAAAGCACCCTGAACACAGGGTGAGCATGCAGACGTGTGCATACATATCGTACATATGCCCATACATAGAGGAACCACAGGTAAGCTGGCCCAGTCACCCCGCCCCCCTGCCTATGCATCCTCAAATATAAAGGCATCACACACACACAGCCTGGGCCGATTCTACAGCTCTCCGCTTCAGCTGTATGGAATCAGTACAAGAACAGCACAGTCACAGCACATCTAGTCCCAAACGTACAGATCTATGGCTTTCATTAGACAGCAGCATTATGTTTAGTGTAAATTTTTCTCCCATCTTCCATTAGAAATACACATTCAGAGCAACAGTTCAATGCCACGCCCCCCACCACAAAATAAACTGTTACAGAATCTGCACAGAATAAACCATCCTAGACAACACAATCCCACCTAAAAAGGCAGCTAGATATACCTGCTTAAGAAATATGTTATTTCAAGAAAAAAAATAGAATTCCCCATACATTTGCATATATTTTCAGAATATACTTAACACTTTAATTAGTAGTAGTAGAGCTACTTCGCCATACTTATGTACAGAAAAAAAAAAATATTTACAACATGTAACCACTAGAGGGCAGCAGTAAATGGCAGCATAGGATCAGCTTATTACTAACATGGTACCACAAGTCTTTTTGGCACTGAATCATTTAAATCAGTATCTGATAGGGGAGACATTACAAAAAAAAAAAAACTGCACAGACAGGGAAAAGGCTGTTGGTACAATCGATGCTGAACAGCACTGTAAAGCTTAGTGTGTGGTAAGCTATGCAATACAGAGGAAATGTAATGAATGCATGTGAGCAGCTGCACTTCCTGCCAAAGCCCCGCCCACAAAGCAGTGACCCTGCTGCAGTCACACATCCTGGGCTGGGGGAGCCGCAGAAGTACAGCTGGGTCACCAGGCGCGAGGTGCAGGCACTTAGCAATGCTCGATTCAGCCCTATGAGGAAGCAGGGCAATTAAACCCGGCCCCCATTTGTCCCTCGGCCAATTAAAGTAATACAGAGGCAGTTTTGTTTTCTGTCCTATTAGGGGCAATCTGACCAGGAACTGGGCAACAGCTTTTGGGGGGGGGGGGCATAGCCAGAACCAGAGGCTTCCATTTGGGAAATCTGGGTAAGAGGGCACTTGGCAAAGCTGTATGTGGGGCTGTTTGTAACACTGCGCCCCCCCCCCCCCCAACAGCGGTCGTGAAATATCTCCTTACACAAACACGGGACACAGACGGCATGACCGTGCCCTATTTATAGTAGGCGTGAGTGTGCGTTTGCACCAGTTTACCTGGGGTCATTCCCCCAAAAGGCAACCCATGCGAGTATTGCTCCCCTAATAGAGTGAGTGTGTGTGTGTGTGTGTGTATATGTGTATAATTAAATCTGCCTGCAGTCCCTTCTTCACTATATGGGTACCACCACTGACCGCCTGGTCCCCAGCCTGTCCACTCCTCAGCACTCCCTCAGCCAGCCACTAGGAGACCTCGTTGCCGAAGACCTCGAGCACGAGTGGCGTGAGCTGCATGCTGTGCTCGGGCTGGAAGGACAGCGAGCGGTACTGCTTGGAGTGCTCCTCATTCAGGCTCCGCAGGTCCGCCAGCTTCTGGATCATCTTGGCGTAGAGCAGCTGGCCGCCGGGGTGATGCACGCGGATGTAGGCCTGCAGCACCTCCGAGAGGCGGTCCTGAAGGGACTCCACACGGGCATGGTCCTGCACGCCGGGCCGGTCTGGGGAAGGGGAACGGCAGAGCGGATGGATGAATGGGTGGATGGAGAGGGGAAGGAGGAGAGGGAGGTGGGGCAGCTCATGGGCCTCGTACCGGGGGACAGGAGGCAGATGGCCATCAGCAGAACGTGCTCAGCCTCGTGGAGGTTCAGCTTTTTTAGCCCAACCTGAAACTTGACCAGTGGCTCCAGCAGCTCCATAGTGTGTCCAGCTGGAAGGAGAGAAGATGGAGCTGGAGTCAGTGTGGGGGGAGCAAAGCGGGCAGGGGTCAGGGGCCAGTAAGGGCAGAGCTCACCTTTGGTGACGTCGTTAATGCAGTACTTGAAGTCAGGGCCCCCGCAGCTCCAGGACATGTCCTCCAGGTTGAAGGACTGGTTGGAGCGCAGCATGATGATCTCAATGGCACTGGATTTGAGCAGCGCAATTTGGTCCTCTGCAGTCAGCTCTCTGTGGAACAGACGGACCACTGCCGGGGTCACGGGGGGAGTGAGGACCCACTGATTGCTGGGCGGTCGGGGTGGGGGGCACATGGGAGTTTTACTTACACAAAAATGTTCTGAGGGCAGAAGCAAAAATGACTGGTTCCAAGACATGACCAATCAGAATATAGAGGAGGCAGGACTAACCAATCAGTTGTCCTGGTCCTGCCTCCTCTAGTTGCTTCGACCCACCTTCTTTATAATATGATTTCTCATTTTTCCTTCTGCCCTCAGAACAATTTAGCGTACGTAAAACTCCCACGAGCGGTGGAGGGGGGGGGGGGGGGGGGGGGGGGGGGGGGGGGGGGGAAGCAGTCTGGCCTGAAATAGTGGAGCGATGGAAGAACAAGTGTGAACTATCACAGACGGTCAGGTCTTGTGGGCAAGAGGGGGAGGGGCAGCTGACCATCGCAAGCAGGCAACACAGAGAACCACGTAAACAGGCTGCCTGCGTCAGCGGCGCTGATCAGAGTCTGCGAGAGTCGGCGGGACAGGATGTACCAGGGCTCCAGAGTACGCCATCGTTACCCAGACAACAACAGATCCACAATTACACAGCAAGCTCACGATGCATTTAGGGCAACAGCGATGATGCCAGTTCCATCGCTGTGACGATGGACTTGTTTTTGGACCCCCTCAGGTGGGGGGTGGGGGGGGGGGTTGACCACAATTACAATGCATTTTATACGTGGTTCTGGTGGATCATTTTTTGTTAGACTCACTTCAATGACAGTACGACTGAATGCTGAAATTCTAATTGGTTCACAGTGTGTGATTTTTATAATTTTGTCCCACTGCCAATAATTTCTCTCCATGTGAAAGGGACAGATCAGTTGAAACAATGTCCCTAATAAATGACCAAGGTTTCTGGTCATTTCCCCAGTTCTAAAGGCACTGACATTCAGCTGCTTGTTCACAGTTAGTATTACGACAGGGGTCCGGGTGCCATTGCACTCATAAGGCAGGCAGGTTAAAAGCCAAACAGTTTGGACAAAACGACAGATGGAGCTCCATTGATTTGCGCCTGAACACTCTTATACAGGTTGTACTATATCCGTAGGTGAGCTTTGGTTCGATATCACACAGAAAGCCATATGCAGCTCTAATTCCTCATTTCCTTCTTTGTGGTTAATTCCCATTGACTTTTATTTTAATCCGGTATTTGAAAAATAACGATTTCTGACTTCCCCAGCAGATCTGAAAAACAGATTAACGGATCTGGCACTTCCCCTTTTCCTTCTGGATTTGGAAAAAAGTTGTGAGGAAAGCTTTCTTGTTATAGAACTTATCCATAGTGTCGATTGTTCAGGAGTTGCTGACAGACAGAGATACAGACAGAGAGACAGACAGAGAGACAGACAGAGAGACAGACAGAGAGACAGACAGGGAGGCAGACAGAGAGACAGACAGGGAGGCAGACAGAGAGACAGACAGGGAGGCAGACAGGGAGGCAGACAGAGAGGCAGACAGACAGGGAGCAGACAGACAGAAATTCAGACAGGGAGGCAGACAGAAAGTCAGGCAGACAGAGAGACAGACAGGCAGACAGAGAGACAGACAGGGGGCTCCCACCTGAACCCCGGGATCATCTTGGCAAAGCCGATGACCTTCTGGATACTGTAGCTGACCAGGTCAGCCAGGTGGGGCAGCATGGACAGGTGCTGGCTGTCTTCCTCTCTGTTCTGAGGGCTGCTGTTGCTCTCCTGGTACATCATCAGAAGACTGGCGAAGTTCATCTTCGGGTCCATGGACTCTGAAGAGGAGGACAGGGTGGCAGTTTCAGTCACAGAACCTAAAACACAATTGGCGTCACAAATACACTGGATCTGTAACACACACGTGAGGCCACTCCTGGCTGTAAAGACAGACGTATCACCTCAGGAGTCACCCTGACAGCAGAATGAGCAGAAGGAGGAGACACTGCACGCCTGGAAGCACATGGTCTGAGTGGCACTGCACCAAATCGCAGAGACACTGCATGCTCTGCATTGTTTACCAGTTACTGCACACACTAAGTTCTGCTTCCTTATCAGCAGCTGCCTGTCTCAGACCTGATTCATACACAGAGAGAAGATTCCTAAAGGGGAGGAGGGGGGGCATGCTTTTAGCTTTTCAGAATTCCAAACTCCAGATTCACCTCACTCACATTCACCTCCTACCTGTAAACTGTTTTTTGAGGCCTGCATTTGGACAGGCCTGTTTGAAATGGTGGTTTCCTCGCACACAGCCTCTAGTGTCAGGGCGGTCCTGCAGCGAAGACCCCGCTAGATTTCTCTAAAGACCCCTGACTGAAGGTTAGTGAGCCGAGGGTCGGGTGCCTCACCTGGTGAGTGGCCTAAGGAGTCCGAGGAGACATCGGTGAGCGAGTGGAGCGAGGCGGCACGGCTCGCACTGCGCGTGACTGGGCCCTCCCTCACCGGGGGCTGGGTGTCACACACAAACACAAACACAAACACAGACAAAGAGAAATAAGCAAATAAAAACACTGATGATTCAGGTGCTCCAGAAAACCACCACTTTGTGAGCTGTTATATTTAATTAACAACCAGTTAACAAACTAGTTATTTATTAATGTTTTTGTTTGTATGCAGTTGTTTGCCACACAGCAAACTGGCTCAATCACACACAGCGGACCAGATGCCAGAGTTAAGGACTGGGCCGGCGCCCCCCCGCAGTGGCCCCCCAGCCTGAAAGGCACGCTCACACACCCGGAAGCGGGAGAAGTCGGAGTACGAGTCGTCGTAGGTCTTGTGATGTGCCTCCACCAGGGTGGCAATGACATGGTTCTGTTCCGCGCTCAGCCGGGGCCGCTGCGCCTCCCTCAGGGCCTCCTCCTCCTTCCGCTTCAGGATCAGCTCCTTTTTACGCTGCACCTCCTCGTCCGTCAAGATGACTACAGGTGGACAGAAGATTGGGGGTGGGGGGGGATAAGAATCGCATGGAAAAGGTCTGACTGCTTGATGCACATGTCCTGCAGCACGTTCTGCTATGTTAAAATGTTGGGGGGGGGGGTTACATGACAGGCCATACGACATGCATTCGCAGTGAGTGAGAGACTGTCATCTCAGCTTTGGTCTGCTTCTCACACACACACACACACACACACACACACACACACACATACACACGCACAGATGTTTGTATCCAAATCTTTGTGGGAAGTCTCCATTCATTTTTATGGGAAAAACCCTAATCCGAACAATGACGGCCTTAACCCCTACCCAGCCCTAACCTTAACCGTAAGTAACCAAACAAAATACAAGACAAAGACAGACAGAAACACACATCCTCAGATGCCAGATTGTTTCCACCAACTTGGTGCCGGAGCCAGGCTTTTTCCCAATCCGGAACTAGTTCTGTGCGTGGGCTGTGGGCAAAAAAAAAAATTACTCCAACACTGCAGCACAGAAAACCTGGTATCAGAATTTGGAACCTTAACATCATTGAAAGTAGGATGGGATATTGTGTCTAAACCTTCCCAATACCCGGAAAATAACCGATACTGTTTTGTCTAGTATCACCAGTGCTGGCAGTGACTTGGGAACAATTTGCCAGCTTATTAGCGGAATTACTGTTACATTAATTCCCCTCCTTGGATTGCCACCTTATCGTGGTGGAGGGGTCTGCGTGCCTCAGTGACCCTGGGGGCTATGTTGTCGGGGGCAATAGCCCCTGGTAGGGTCTCCCAAGGGAAAAAGGTCCCAGGGAAGGGGCCAGACAAAGAGCAATCTGAAAAAACCCTTATGACAAAGAATTCTACCAAGGTCTCTTCCCTCGCCTGGACTAGGGTCACCGGGGCCCCACCCTGGAGCCAGGCCTGGGGGAGGAGCCCGTTGGCGAGCACCTGGTGGCCGGGCCTTGGCCCGTGGGGCCCGGCCAGGCACAGCCCGAAAGAGGCACGCGGGACTGTCCCCAGGTGGGCCCACCACCCGCAAGGGGAATGTCAGAGGTTCGGTGCATTGTGGATCGGGTGGCAGCCAAGGGAGGCCCTGGCGGACTGATCCCCAGCTGACAAAACTGGCTTTCGGGACAAGGAATGTCACCTTTCTGGTGGGGAAGGAGCCTGAGCTTGTGCGTGAGGTTGAGAGATACCGACTAGATATAGTCGGGCTCACCTCAATGCATAGCGTGGGTTCTGGAACCAATCTCCTGGAGAGGGGCTGGACGTTCTTTTCTTCTGGAGTTGTGGCAGGTGAGTGATGCGGGGCTGGGGTGGGGCTACTGGTGGCCCCACAGCTCGGTGCATTAACAACAGAGTTTACCGCAATGAATGAGAAGGCTGTTGCCCTGTGCCTTTTGGTTGGGGATAGGTCTCTGACTGTCATCTGCGGCAAATGCCATCCTATTGACTAACTCAGGAGTACCCGGCCTTCTTGGACTCCTCGAGTGGTGTGCTGGTTAGCGCACCATGAGGGGATTCCATCGTTTTGCTTGGGGACTTCAACGCTCACGTGGGCAATGACAGTGTGGCCTGGGGGGGGTGACTGGGAGGAACGGCCTCCCTGATCTGAACCCGAGTGGTGTTCTGTTATTGGACTTCCATGCAATGCATGGTTTGTCCATAATGAACACCATGTTCAAGCATAAGGTTGTCCATAAGTGGACATACTACGAACATGCCCAGGGCTACAGGTTGATGATTGATTTCATAATCGTATCATCTGATCTACGGCTTTCTGTCTTGGACACTCGGGTGAAGAGAGGGGCAGAGCTGTCAACTGATCACCACCTGGTGGTGAGTTGGCTCAGGTGGCGGGGGAGGAAGCCGGTCAGACCTGGTAGGCCCAAGTGCATAGTGAGGGTCTGCTGGGAACGTCTGGCAGAGCCTCCTGTTCGCCGGAGCTTTTACTCGCACCTCCGGCAGAATTCCAACTGTATACCGGGGGAGGTTGGGGACATTGAGTCTGAATGGACCTGTTCCGGACCTCCATTGTGGAAGCGGCCGTACGGAGCTGTGGCTGCAGGGTGGTCGGTGCCAGTTGAGGCGGTAACCCTCGTACCCGATGATGGACACCAGAAGAGAGGGGGGCTGTCAAGCTGAGGAAGGACGCCTACCGGGAATTATTAGCCCGGGGGTCTCCGGAGGCAGCTGACGGGTACCGGCAGGCCAGGCGGAACACGGCTCGGACGGTCACAGAAGCTAAAACCCGGGCGTGGGAGGAGTTCGGAGAGGCCATGGAAAGTGACTTTTGGTCGGCCTCAAAAAGGTTCTGGCAAACCATCCGGAATATCAGGAGGGGGAAGCAGCTCTTGGTTCCTACTATTTATAGTGGAGAGGGGGTGCTGTTGACCTCACCAGGGGACATCACCCAGAGGTGGAAGGAATACTTTGCCTATCCAGTCTACATGTGTTTTGTGGACTTGGAAAAGGCTTACGACCAGGTTCCCCGAGGTGCTCTGTGGGGGGTGCTTCGGGAGTATGGGGTTCGGGGTCCACTATTGTGGGCGATTCAGGCCCTGTATGAACGGAGCAGAAGCTTGGTCCGCATTGCCGGTAATAAGTCGGACGTGTTCCCAGTGCGGGTTGGGCTCCGCCAGAGCTGCCCTTTGTCATCGGTCCTGTTTATAATATTTATGGACAGGATTTCTAGGCGCAGCCAGGGTGTTGAGAGTGTCCAGTTTGGTTGCCTCAGGATTGCCTCGCTGCTTTTAGCAGACGATGTCGTCCTGTTGGCTTCATCTGCTGGGGACTTCCAGCTTGCTCTGGGGTGGTTCGCAGCCGAGTGTGAAGCGGCGGGGATGAGGATTAGCATCTCCTAGTCCGAGACTAGGACTAGGAGAACGAGACTTATGTTCTTATGTTCTTATGAGACCATGGCTCTCAGCCGGAAACGAATGGATTGCCTTCTTCAGGTCAGAGAGGAGATACTGCCTCAAGTGGAGGAGTTCAAGTATTTCCGGGTCTCGTTCATGAGTGAGGGTAGGTGAGATCGAGAGCCGGACAGACGAATCAGAGCGGCATCTGCAGTTTTGCAGGCGCTTAACCGTTTCGTCGTGGCTAAGAAACAACTGAGCCGGAAAGCAAAGCTCTTGATCTATTGGTCCATCTTCGTCCCTACCCTCACCTATGGTCATGAGCCATGGGTAATGACGGAAAGAATGAGATTGCAAATACAGGCGGCCGAAATGAGGTTTCTCCGCAGGGTGTCTGGGCTCTCCCTTAGGGATAGGGTGAGTAGTTTGGATATCCAGGAGGGCCTCAGAGTAGAACCGCTGCTTTGTCACGTCGAAAGGAGCCAGTTGAGGTGGTTTGGACATCTGGTGCGGATGCCTCCTGGGCGGCTACCCGGAGAGGTTTTCCGTGCATGTCCTACAGCGAGGAGGCCCCGGGGCAAACCCAGGACTCGCTGGAGGGATTATATCTCTCGGCTGGCCTGGGAACGCCTCGGCATCCCCCCCGAGGAGCTGGTAGAGGTAGCTGGGCAGAGGGACATCTGAGTATCTCTCCTGAAGCGGCTACCCCCGCGACCCGAACCCCGGACAAGCGGAAGATAATGGATGGATGGACGGATTGATTAATGTTACATCCTTTTTTTTATTCTGTGGAAAACAAAAGATTGATTTGTTTGCCAGATTTAATAATAAACATGTCACAGGTTGAATAAATAAAATATTGTGGTATTCGAGAGGCAGAGATCATGAGGCAGACAGCTTATTTTTTTCTGGCATCTGGCAAGCAAAATTTTTTATTGCGTGATCCTTAAAAGGCCAGCGGGAAAATGGCAAGTGAGAATAAACTCACTCACACACACAGACAGACAAAATTGGATACAGGCAATCCACATACAAAATGTTTCCATTCCATTCTGTTTTGAAACCAGTGAAACACAGGCAGTTTCTCAAAAGGCACCAAGCAAGAACCAGCCCAGTACCAGCACCAGTACCGGCTCCAGCTCTGTGTTGGTGGAAATAAGGCAAGAGGGATATTGTGATGTTTTTCTCAAGCCTCAGTAGGACTGGGCAATATGCAACAATATTGCATTACAACATTTTTCATATCAGTCAATACTGATAATTATCATATTATTCAACTCATTATTTCTGTACTTCAAGGCTCTGTTTCTATTAAAAATTCCCTAAGAATTCCCCTTAAACGGATACAGAACATGAAAAATGCTACAGATTGAACTGCAAACTGAAATTAAATTTTAATAAATTTAATAACGCCAACAGTATGTTAGTAGCTGTTTTTGTCCTCTAACTGCCTCGCTGCTCATTCAAGGAGATAAATCAAAAAGTCAGAATTTCGACTTAAGTCAGAATTCTAAGATGTGTTTTTTCCCTCCTCCAGATGGCAGAAACGTGCTTCCATACAATGCGACGTTTGCCGTATTTCCAGTTTTACTTGGCATGAGTTTACAGTACACAGCAGCAGTCCTTTACATGTCGCATTTTAAACCGCCAAGGTACCACCATAACACTGACATCTTTTTGCTTTGTTTATCCACAATATCTCCTACCATATGATTGGTCAGAATTGCATCCGTTTCTGTGATGCGATAGGGAACGGTGTTCCCTATCGTCAGCCCTGGTTCTCCAGTCCCTCAGTTAACCTCTCCATTTGTTTCCCTTGTTCCCCATATCGGCCAGCACACTCCTCTCCACATGTCTCTAGGCTCAGATTTCTCAAACTCATGACAAGGCTGTGGGTGGCTATTTGTGACCCCCCCCCCCCCATGCCTGTCTGTCATCTTGACACAGAGTGTCGTTGGAGGAGAAACCCAAACTCCTCTTGGTGTGTGTGCTGCTTGGAGGTGTATGTGCCGTGTCACGGTTTGTGTATGTCTCACTGTGTGTGTGCCGTGTTGCAGTGAGTGTGTCATTTCATGGTGTGTGTGTGTGTGTGTGTGTGTGTGTGTGCCATTTCGCCATCTGTGTATGTTTAGCAGTGTGCGTACCGTGTCACGGTGTGTGTGCCTTGTCAAGGTGTATGTACCGCGTCACGGTGTACCAAGTCTTAGTCTGCGTACCGTTTTTGAAGTGCGTGTGCCTTGTCATGGTGAGTGTACTGTGTCACGGTGTGTGTGCGGTGTCACAGAGTGTGTCAGACTCCCTGGGACCTCTGGGCCATGCCTGTATGAGCACACAGCGCGGGCGGGCAGAGAGGGCAGCAGGGCACACTGGGAGCTGGAGCGGGGAGGCGTGGCCTCAGGCAGGACTGACTCACACTCTTTCATCATGCCGATGTCCAGACAGCGTTTGAGGCGGCAGGCCTGGCAGTGCCGGCGGTTGTCCTTGGTGATGGTGCAGCTGCCACTGAAGGGACAGGTGAAGGTGGCCTTGCGCTTCATGCTGCGCCTGCAGGCGGCACCGGGGGGGGGGGGGGGGGCATAGAAAAGGGCGTGAGTACCCAGATCACACACCCCATTATTTTTTGTGTATTTACCTGATGGAAGATAAGGGCCTAATCATCACCTAAATGAGTCCCAACACACGTGTACGGGTACCGCTCACCATGAGCTGCTGAAGTGATGTTCACACTAATCTGCTGTCTCTGTCCAGCCTCTAGAATAACCGGCTCCGGCATTGAGTTAGTCAATAGGATGGCAATCAAGAGCCAGGGGGGGCTTCCCAATATAACTATCAAACACACACACACACACACACACACACACACACAGTGTCAGCCTCTGCTCATCATAACAGATTTCTGGAACCTTTCCTGAGAACTTCATACCTAGAGCAGTTGGTGATCAGGACTAAAAAACCTGTTTGGGCCTGATGGGGTAGGGAGATAATGTTCAAATGGAGAAAATCCAGGCAAATCAGTTTTCCTGGGAGAAGATGCCCCCCCCCCGCACTCCCGAAATCCCCAGGACCTCCAGGATATTATGAAGATCTGTCTGTGACAGTCTCATCGTGTCAGAACTAAAGGGTCCAAGGAACACAGAACAATGAGTGTTAAACGAGAGCCCTTGAGGAGCCCGGGGAGGGGGGGGGGGGGGAAGGCTGTGTGCTCCCCCAGCTGCCAGGGAGCGCGAGCAGCATCCACCAGGACACGGGAGCAAGATCCAGCCCACAAATGACAATAAAGCAGATGGACAGATGTGAAACGTTACCTCGAATGCCAGTGAAACACTGTCCTGACAGAACGAACCACATCCCTGACCATAAGAGCACTGATGGGACCGTCATTGTTTCGGGTAGCCTCAGGTGTTACAGTTTCTCAGGGAACGTGGATCACTACATCACAGTGACACGATCCGGTGGGATTCACGCTGAACGGAACGTGCATCGTGGATCAGCGACGACGGCGGTAAACGGGAAAGCCGTCAACAAGAGAAGGAAAAACCCAACTGAGGCTGTGACCACGGCTCCTGGAAGCCAGTCCAGGAATAATCGACAAGCTGAAGCAGCCTGGAGGAGAGGATGAACCTCCAGGCCCGTGTGTCAGATCCATCTGCAGGCACCCAGGCATCTGACAGGATCCATCTTGGAGCCTATCCAAGAGGCTATGGGTGCTAGTCTGGGAACAACCCAGGATGGGGCGCCAATCCATCGCAGGGCACTCTCACACACCATTCACTCACACATGCAGACCTATGGGCAATTTGGCAACTCCAATAAGCCTCAGCATGTTTTTGGACTGAGAGGGGAAACCGGAGTACCCGGAGGAAACGCCACGACAACACGGGCAGAAGATGCAAATTCCACCCAAATGGAGCCCTGGCGGAGACTCAAACCCAGGTCCCAGAGGTGTGAGGGAAAACTGCTAAGCACTGCACCACCACACCGCCCCCAGGACAGGAAATGTTTGCTGGAGATCCCCGTGGTGACTAGTTACAAAATTGAAAACGTCGGACCAATGCGCCCTAATCACACACAGCATTCCCTTCCTGCAGCCACATTCTCTCTGTGATGACGTTCTGTGACTCTGCTGGTCCCCGCGGCGGCTCAGGGAGCCTCACTGCGTTTCCATGGCAGAGCAGCTGACTGCGGCTCGTGGCGACGAGGAGCCCGAGGCCACAGCACACAGACGTAAACAGGCATCTTTGCAATCCATTCAAGCCAACCTCTAGTCGAAAGCGTTGGGTCGACAGCCACCCATATGGACCGAAGCCAGCATGGCTGGGGGGCTGTTAGCGGCAGCACAGCTCACACACAGGAGAAAGCCCGACGACGTTACGCAAGCGTGGGGTTAGGACAGCCTGTGCGACTGTGGCGCGGTGCTGTGCTCTCCATCACCCTTCACACGGAGACACCTGGCACACAGCCCCCGCCACGGCACACTGCTCCACAAGAAGGAGGGATGGGGGGGCTGCATATATCCACGCAAGTAAACAGAGGACGAGGATCAAATTCTCGCTCACTGCCCAGAGCTGGTGTGTCAGAGACCCAAAAATACCATGGTCAGGGTGAGTCGGGTTACAGGCCAAGCCTCGGCTGCTGACACTGCTGCCCCTGAAGGAGTCAGTCACCGTCATCCTCACCACCACAGTCACCATCACGGTCGCCCTTAATCTCACTGTAACTGTCACCTTCACCATCACGGTCGCCCTCAATCTCACTGTAACTGTCACCTTCACCATCACGGTCGCCCTCAATCTCACTGTAACTGTCACCTTCACCATCACGGTCGCCCTCAATCTCACTGTAACTGTCACCTTCACCATCACCGTCGCC